CGGAGATGTGCGCGGCGGGGAGGCGCTGGGGCCGGCGGCAGCGAGTGCTGCTGTGGGGCGTCCTGCTGGCGGCCTGGGAGGCGGCGTGGGGGCAGCTGCGCTACTCGGTGCCCGAGGAGATGCCCAAGGGCTCGTTCGTGGGCGATGTGGCCAAGGACCTGGGGCTGCAGCTGCCGGCGCTCAGCCACCGCGACGCCCACGTTTTTGACACAGGTAGGACACGGTACTTTTTTCTGGACTTGCAGAACGGCCACTTATCTATGATGGAGCAGGTGGACAGGGAGGAGATATGCGCAGCTGTTCCTAAATGCGTCCTAAATTTTGAAATTCTTGTAAAGCAGCCAATGAATATTTACAAAGGGGAGGTAGAAATACTGGATATTAATGATAATGCTCCCAGTTTCCCAGAAAGAAGCAGTGTCTTAGAAATCATCGAGTATACTGCACCAGGTGCCCGTTTCCCATTGGAGAAAGCTCACGATCCCGACATAGGAGTGAACTCTTTACAGAATTATGAATGTAGCGAGAGCAGCTATTTCACCTTGGATGTGAAAAACGGAGACGACGATGTGAAATATCCAGAATTAATATTGGTGAAATCTTTGGATCGGGAAGAGCAGGCTGTTCATAATTTGATCCTAACAGCCACAGATGGCGGGAGTCCGGTAAAATCGGGATCGACAACAATACAAATAGTTGTGTTAGATGGAAATGACAATGCTCCAGAATTTACTCAGTCTGTGTATAAGGTGACCGTGAGAGAAGACGTGGCCGTGGGAACTCGGGTGTTACAGGTGACAGCGACTGACAGAGACGAGGGGCCAAACGCTGAGGTGAAATATTCGTTCTTTAAAATCCCGGAGAAGTTCGACAAAACTTTTAAGCTAGATCCTGAAAGTGGGGAAATTGAAATAACAGAGAAGTTGAATTTCGAAGAACACGAGTTTTACGAATTGGTCGTGCAAGCTCGGGATGCGGGCGGACTCGCTTCCCACAGCAAGGTACACATCAAGGTCGCTGATGTGAACAACCACGTTCCCGAGATTGTAATTATGTCCGTGTTCAGTCCCGTTCCAGAAGATACACCGCTGGGAACAGTAATCGCCATTTTCAGCGTCCAAGACAGGGATTCTGGGGCCAACGGCGAGGTGCAGTGCAGCATCACGGAAAGCCTCCCGTTCCGCCTAGAGAAGTCATTCGATAATTACTACCGTGTGGTGACTGCAGAGCTGTTGGACCGGGAGCAGGAGTGGGAGTACAACGTGACGGTGCGGGCGGCCGACGGCGGTCGTCCGTCGCTGCAGAGCAGCAGGGTGCTGTGTGTGCGGGTGCTGGACGTGAACGACAACGCGCCGGTGTTCTTGCAGGAGCGCTACAGCGCTCGGCTGT